TTTAACTCTGTGTCTTTTATTTTAGGTCCTAGGCAATATAAGAAACAAAAAATAAACTCTAAAAGTGAGGCTATAAGTTATTTAGAAAAAAAGGCCCAAAATGAGGAAAATAGAAAATTAAGAGAACTAGATCTAGAAGAAAGAAAAATTGCCTTAGAAGAGAAAAAAGTGGATCTGGAAGAAAGAAAAGTAACACTGAAAGAAAAAATGTGGGAAAAACAGGAAAAGAAATTCGAAATTGAAATTTGTGAACATAAACAAATTTTGAGTCTTGTTGAGAACCAACAAAAGTTATTTACAATGTTATTAGAACGACCAAACTGTAGCAGCTTCAAATGAGTTTTTTATTTTTTTTTTATATTTATAGTAGATTCGTTTAAAAATAATTTCAAGTAAATAAATAAGTCTTTTAATTAGGTTTATGAGTTTTTAATTCACCATTCCATTAAAAAAACATGTTTACAATCTCACTATATCCTAAAAAAGTTATATTTATAATACAAAACATTTAGTCAATGATTAACAGCAAATTAATTTTAATTGATATTTCAATACAGATATCCATTTTACTTAAATAATAAACTGTTAAAAAATTGAATTCCGTTTGGAATAACATGAATAACAAAAAAAATGTTATTCAGGTTACATTTACACAAGTATAGCAATTAATGGGTTAATACAATAATTATTTGAAAAGAAATAACCACTTAGTAAAAAAGGTGTTTACAATCTCACTAAATGCTAAAATTCATAAAATTATATAATACAAAACAAATCAACATTAAAAAAGTGAAAATCAACTAACAATAGAGTAAAATTAGTGCTCTAAATATGTGTCTAAATTTGGAGGAATTACATTAAAATATGTAGAACATTGGTTTCCATACAAACATGTATGACAGTTTATCAGCAATACTGCACATTTGTACATTTTACCTAGATCTTGCAATAATAGTTTTTGATTTTTGTGAAAATCTAAAAAAGCAAATTCCCTTACAATTTTTGCAAATCCCCACTCAACAGCTAATCTAGCTTGGCACATGCTGTTATTAAAATTTTCCTGTCTCAACCTTTGTTCTCCATTAGGTAATCTTGCTGGGTTTGGAAAAGGGCATAGCAAAAGATTGGACAATGGATAAGCCTGATCTCCATACAGAACAAAATTGACATTGTAGCATTTTTTTTTATTTATTGTGTATATAAAATATTTCTATGGTACGTCCCTGTTGTTTCTACCAAGAAATCGATCAATAAAGTTAAATGTAGGTACGTTGTAAATATTTCAAGTTTTTTTGACGAGATTTTTAAATGCGTATTAACGCTGGAAATATGTTTTTATCTCTGTGTTGCAATGTTAGGTAAAATAACAAGTTTTTTGTCGCCAAAGAGGTATTATGTTAAAAACGCAATAAACCATGAATTCCCCTAATATTAAAGTTGTTTTTCGTTATTAGAATGAGAGTCAAAAAGAATATTTGTTTGTTTAGGCAATAAAGGAATATTTAAAAGGTTTTTTTTGTCGATACAAGCGAGGGGATATTGTTTTGGTTCTTGAGTTTGTGGGGACAGGTTAGCTGCAAGACGGAAGGGAAATTTTTGGCGAGATTCTGGTAAAATGTAACGAAGCGAGGAGTCGAGATTTGAGTTCCAAACGGGGCAGACATGGACAATTGAGACCAAGATTTGATTTGAAAAGAAGTCGAGATTTGAGTTCCAAACGGGGCAGACATGGACAATTGAGACCAAGATTTGATTTGAAAAGGAGTCGAGATTTAGATTCCAAGCGGGGCAGACATGTGATAACGAAGTCGAGATTTAAGTTCCAAGCGGGGCAGACATGTGGGAATGGAGTAAAAGATTTGAGAGGAAGTGATGAAGAACTTCTCGAAGAAAAAAGTCGTTTAATTGTGATGTTGTAAGCCGGCATTCATTCGCCAAAATGGTGGAATTTTCACTCTAAGTAATATGTCGTTTCTGAAAGAGTGACCAGTAACCACTGTTTTTATTTTGGCTGAAGATTTATGATGTTTGAGCAGTGAACAAGTTTAGTTCCTGTTTGTTTTTCGTTTTTTTGAGAGATCCAGTTCCTTCCCGAGATGCCCTTTTCACCTCATGTAGAATAATATTGGAGCAGTTTTGATTTGGATGTGCCAGTTTCAGCTTCCAATAAAGCTTTCCGTTGATGTGCAGTTAGATACCCCGCAGAAGTTAGCCAGTTGTTCAAAAGTTTAAGTTAAGATGTGTGAACTGAGGTAACATTTACGTTATTAATTTTTAAAGTAAAAATAGACATTTTCTTTTAAAAAGACAACATTTGCTTTCTTTTATAAATTATTTTTTAAATTATTTACTAAGAACCGTTTCGAAGAGTTTTGTAAACCTTTTGTAAACAGATATGTAAGTTTTTTTCATTTGTATTTGACAGCTAATTTTATTTAATATGCCTTTGTATAAGCTGTATTTTGAAAGCTGTTTGGTGAGACAAAAATAAATGTTTAATTTGTTTCTCTGATCTATTTTGAGTTTTATTTGAAAAAGATATTTTTTTTCTATATTTTTGATGTTATACAATTATTTCCCTAGTTACAACTAGTGGTTGTAATAGGTATAATTGGGCACCTCAAGTGGCGCCCTATATTAAATTTCTTGAGGTGTTTCCGTTAATTTTCATTCTGTTTGTCCCAAGAGATTTGTATAAGTACCCCTTTATTTCTTTTTTTTGTAGTTGCCCCAATCTAACCCCCAATATCTTCAACTTATCCACGACCCAGCTCTCCAACAACCAACTGAGTGTCCGTATGCACTTGTTTCGATTATTTTGTTTGCCCAATCTTGTCCCCCATATTCTTACCCTGTGGTAAGCAAAATAGTTGTTACAACTTTGGCGCCCAACGCGAGTGGCATGAATTAGGTTGGCGCTAATTGTATCTATCGTTACAATTTTAGCGCCCAACGTGTGTGGCTTGTCTTAGATTTGCGCCAATTGTACCTGTTGTTACAATTTTGGCGCCCCCAACGTGTGGCATTCTTTTAGTTTTGCTCCAAATTGTACTTTCGTTACAATTTTGGTGCCCAACCTAGGGGCTTTTGAGTATTTCCATTTCTTTTAGGTTTTGATTCCTTTTTCCCAAGCCATTTAGATGAAACTTTTTTCCTTTTGAATAGTGCCCCAAAGTGTCTCACAAACAGTAGAGTATTTGTATTACAATGTATGTATTTTGTACCAACATTATGTATTGTTGTTTTTTCAGGTAATGTACTTATAGTGACATATGTGTATTGTTCTTCATATGTAATGGTAAATGAAAGCAAATATTTGAGTTGAATATTTAAATATGAATTTTGATTGAACTATTGATATTGAAAAGAATTTAAAAACGGTAACAAATATTTCAGTTATTGTTACATTTATTTATAATTGATTCAACAAATTTTACATAATAATCGGTTTTTGTAATTTTTTATTTGTTCGGTCATTTTGAGTAAATGTTTGTATTCGTTTGAAGGACTTTGAGCTATGTAGTTGAGAAGTAGTATTATGCAATTTGTCTTCTAATTAACCGTCTCTGAAGGTGTATTTAAATGCCAAGGGTTAATTAATGTTGTTGTACGAGGGGTAGTCATTGTGAGTCGTAGAGAAGATTCGACAAGTTTAGTCTCAGTAGTAGACTGTTTGTTTATTGCGTATCCTTTCTTGTATCTGAATGACCACAGGTGTAATATTTGTGATCAGGAGATGCTGTTTTAGTTTTGACTAGGAGCAGTCTCTTTTAGTTTTCGGAACAAGAGTTGGTTTATTTTGGTGTTATTTAGTATAGCTCACTCAAACGTCAAGTTTTCAATATTATTAGTATTTTGTCTTTCCCTGTATGTACGGTTTAATTTGTTTGTTAGTGTCCATGTTGTCCCATGTTGTTTGAAACCATTTTTTTAGTCCTTGTTAGTGGAAGTGTGAAATTTTAGGAGACAGGTTATAGACCTCATTTTTATTTACCAACTGATTACTAAGTCAAGAGCAGAAGTTGCAGCAAACTGATTGAGTTTTGGATTTCAGTACGCGGGAGTGCAAGTGAGACTTACTATCAGGTGATAAATGGAAACGGTTGTTTCTTAAATTTATCATATTTTCTACTAGCTGATGAGGTTGATTTCAGTTATTTTGTGTGTTTGCTTTCAACCAATTTTTGAAAAATGAAGTCTACCCAGGTTAATCATTTGAAATCAGGAGAGTTATCTTATGAGCTTTTCATAAGAGGTAAAAATGTCCCAAATAAGACAGTTGATGATAAGAGAAAGATGTTAAGAGCTTTGTTGGCCATGGAGGCCACTTCGTCTTCAAGTTTAGTCGATTTGGTTAGTAATGTAGTAGATCCTGAGAAAGAGTTGTGTGAGATTAAGTCGATTGTAGAAGATTTATATAGTTGTGCTCAATCAATAAATGTAGAATCAACCAAAGCTGATTTTGCTAGATTTGAGACAAGGTCTTCACATTTAGATACCAGATTAGAAAATTTCCCTATGAATGATGTTGAGGAAGATGTATTAAAGTTTGTCAATGAGTGTAAAGATGATTTGTTGTTGTTACAGGGTGATGTGTTAGAAAAACTAGAAATGTTTGATGATTTGGTAAAACCATCCACTAGTAGCCCAGTTCCAGTCCCTGTAGTTCCCAGTTGTACAGTCCCAGCCCCAATAATACAGGTTTCAACTCCTGTCATTATTTCTGATTTACATATCAAGTTTAATGGTGAGAGTAAAGCTCTTCCCACATTTTTAGAGAAAGTTAGAGATTCTGCTAGGTCTAGGAATATTTCCAAAGACATCCTGTTTCGCTCAGCCATTGAGTTATTTGAAGGTAATGCTGCTATTTGGTATAGGAGTGTTAGAGATAGAATTAATAGTTGGGATGAGTTGGTAGCCCTACTCAAATCTGCTTTTTTGCATCCAGATTATAATGATAATCTCTTTGATGAAATTAAAAATATAAAGCAAAAAAGGAATGAATCCATAACCATTTATTCAGCAGTGATGGAAAACCTCTTTAAACGTTTGGAAACTTATCCTAGTGAAGCCCAAAAAGTGAAAATAATCAGGAAAAATATTTTAGTGGACTACATTCCACTGATAGCCCTTCAAGATTTTGCTACAGTAGAAACGTTAGTAGCAACTATAAAACGTTTAGAGCAGAATGTCCTGCCCTTGTTGCAGACTACTAAAGGTCTTGCAGGTATTTCGATTGATGATTCAGAAAAGCCCAAAGAACAAGTTCATGTGGTGAATAATCAAACCAAGCAAGATAGAAGTGGAGTAGGTGACAGACAGGACAGAGAAAATTCTTCTAGGAGACCCAATCCCAAATATAAGTATGAGAATAATAGGCCCAGTCCTCCAAAGAATACTGAAATAAGAAATCAGTCTTTTTCGTCCCCACCTCCAATGATGCAATCTTTTTCGTCCCCACCTCCATTAATGCAGTCAGTCCCTTATCAAGCTCCAAGAAATCCGAAAAAGATTATTTGTTTCAATTGTAATAGACCAGGTCATATTTCCCGTGACTGTAGGAGTAAGTCAGTATC